TTTTTGTGTAATTAATTCATCTTAATTGACGCGTTAAAGTCCCGGCCCTAGTTTTAACCACACACACACACACACGCACACACACACGCACACGCACACACACACGCACACGCGCGCGCGCGTGATTTAAACGCAGCCTTTTGTTCCTCCATGTTTCGTTGTTATTGTCTCACTGAGCGAGTGGACCCGCGATTTTATTTCAAACGCTTTTTTGGTCCATCTGCGGCGGTAATAGGTTTTGTGGGCTTTGATGATTCGGCTGTACCTTTAGTAATGAATATTAAATGTTGTGAGGAAATCTTTCCACCAATAATTCCAATAAGTAATCCAAAATGTATTCACTTCAGGTTTACGAAAGTAACTGTAATCAGATTACTCGTTTTTCAAATGTAACGCAAGCTGAATACAGTTACTTGATTTTTGTATTCTGATTACGTAACGCCGTTACATGTATTCCGTTACAACCCAACCCTGCATATAATCACACTAAAGGTATGTAGGCCCACACTATTCATAATATCATATGTGTAAAATATCAGAAAATAATCACACTTTTTTCTGACTATAAAGGTTGTGTCTGTATGTAGGTTCTAACTGTAGGATAAGCTATCTGGCCGTGTGTTGTGGTTTGTGAGGGCTGCGTATAAACAGTTTCCGCTGTTTATGCATATTGGATACAAATCGTTATTGCACCCTTTAGAGTTGAGACCGACAGACATATAGAAGAACGGACCGATTGTCACTGCCCGTCCCTGAAACCCCTGTTAGTGTTTCTATGTGTTTATTTCTACTGTGTGCCTGCACTCATTCCCTGCCGGATTGTTGCCGTGAACGGATTGTTGCCGTGAACGGTTTGTTGCGTGCCGCTCTAGCTTTTTACCAGCATATTCTTTGACAACTTTGCCTGCTTTTGCCTCACACTAATTTGTATGTCTCTCCCAGGAGGAATCCAAGGCCTTCCACACTCCCAAGACCAGCCAGGCCTCTCTACCCACCCTGGAACAACTGTTTCCCACGGCCGCCATAATCAACCTCCACTCCCAGGTCCCATTTTCTAATAAACAAATGTTACTTTCACCAGCTGATTCCGAGTCTGATTCTGGGTCCCCTCCAGTACATGGGACACCGACAGTGACTTATACTAGCTGCTGGTCGCATTTTAAAAAAAAAGAAAAGACTTCTGATAAATCGGAACGATAAAGCACGTTATCCTACTCTAAAATAATAACATTCTGGCAACATGAACAAATCTAACTAGCAGCTGAAAACGTTTTAAGAATAGTAGGGCAGAATGTTCTAACAATGTTATCAAAAACATTTAAAAAAGGTTATCACCAAACATTTTAAGAATGTTTTTAAAGAACGTTATCCTACCTTTCAGAAGAACATTCTAGGAACCAAAGGAAAACTTCCCGCTGAAAACATTCCTAGAACAGTGAAAGGTAACATTCTCAGAATGTTTTTAGAACCAAAGATTTCTAGCTGGGAACACTTTCATTTATACTATGAACATTTGTGTCAGTGTATTGTTGTCTCGAAACGCACACGGCTACTATTCCTGTCACTAAAATTGGCGATCGCCACTGTTAGCTAGCTAGCTCCCTAGCGAGGAACTTTGGGGTTAGAAATACTTGTATTAGAAATACTTGCAGACTGCTCAATTACAACAACAAAATGAAGGCTGGTTTCTTTTGGACACCAGTATAGTGGTAGGTTAGATAACAAGTGAAAACAAATTATAACTTTTATTAATATAGTGCTGTGTTTTCATGAGCAACCTCAATTGTGGCTTGTTTTGCAACTTCCGTTACGTAGCCAAGATGGCGGTTGTTGGTCGTTATTGACCTTTATTAGTGAATCATCCTTTACTTATACTGTTATACATACTTCACTTTGGGACGCACTCAAATCTGCACATTTTATTACAGACTACGCAAACTGAGACACAGCACTAGTGCTGATGTCTATTGTGCTAATATGAACTAGCAATGAATGAGAACAACTATATTCAAAGAAAATATAGGTCTGCCCATTTAGAATACCTTATTGTCTTTTTATTGAGGAAAATGTGACACTAGCATGGTGATACCTGAGACTGCCACTAATCCACTGGTCAAAAATGCGAGAGGCTTCATTCAGTGACGCCTCATCCCCCATCTGACAGGAGATGCCGAGCACAGTCTCCCTCAGCAACCTGTGGGACAACAATCACATGACACTTTACAGTGGGTGGTAAACCCGGTTAGCACAGAAGAGCAAAGACACATTCTGTATGAGCAAAGGTGTCGTTACAGTCACCAGATGTAATGATTGTACAAAGTAAAGGAGTAAAGGGAGGATCCCTCAGTCCTGTGTGTATATCACACACTGTCACTTCCTGCTGTACCTCTCAGTCTGTGTTCCCACATCCTCCCATCCCAGTTGTGTTGTGATGGCTTTAACGTGGTCTCGGAACAGTTGCTAGAGGAAATATACAGAAAAATTGATCTTAATAAAATCCATTATTGATAAAAATCCAATTGATATCAATTTATTGTATATATTGATATAAAGTGGATTTGAAGAAAAAAGTTATACTATTTTGAAAAAAAACATACAAGAATAGAATGCGAAAGATTATAAGATTACCAAAATAAATGGTGATAAAGTCATGGAAAAAACGTCATATATATAGAGAAACTTTTAAAACAGCATCTGAACAAGTGTTGTACATTTTGAAAAATTAACAGAAATCTAAAACTAATCAGCACCAGAATCAAATAAAGGCAAGCAAAGAAACGTGCATACAGATATAGAATAATTATTAATATATTGTCTTCACGTACTATATGGTTTTATACATTATAGATGTCTCTTTCATAACAATCAAACCATTATTCCCTGAAGTTTTTATACACCAACCACAGCATTCAATTAATGAATTGATTTAGGGTTAAAGTTTAATGTCACGAAATAGTGTGAAAACGACTTCTGTGTTGATTCTGCTGAGGTGGCTTATTGAAACTTGAGATAAACTTAAAGGTTAATGAGATTCTAGGTTTTAAATGTTGCACTTCAAAACATGAGGATGCTCAGCTCCTTTACCTGGAACTTTGGGTAGAACGGTTTGTCTGACAGCATGCCCCGGACATATGCGATGGAGGAGGACGCACGCTCCCACACGATGTAGTCCGTCTCATTTTTCAGGTACTTTGTCAGGTTCAAGGCATTACCATAATCTATAACATTCGCCCTGAACAGGAAGCAGAAATTAAAATCTCAGAATTGAATGTCAGTAATGTTCATACAGTACTTTGGGCTTAAATCTTACCTTGCAAGAGCAAAAACATCATCGATGTAGCTCGTACGATCAGCTGCATCTAACTCCTATTAAAGTTAGAAAACTGAGTCAAATAAGAGATTAACATTTCCAACACAGTGAGCTCTCTCAGGATAGTGGGATAAAACATAGCAGTACTATGTCATAAAAGGGTAATTTAGCTCAGGTTGTCTGTGTTGTCTGAGAAAAATATTTCAAGTCAAGATTTTGATTACAGCCCAAATTTGAAATAATGGGCATGTGCCACTCATGGTTAAATGATGAGAGGCCGTCTAGCTCACAATTCAAACTTGGTCTTACAAACAATATCAGAATCTTCACACATACACCATTAAACTCTTTTATACATATTGCTAAACACTTTTACACGCACAATCATACTCTCTTTCACACACTTTTGTCTGGGCCATAAATCAAACTTACTTACATACCAAACTTTACTTTCTTAGAAACACTATTATTCCCACTTACATACAATATCATACTACAATATAATACTCTAGTAGTGTATGCAAGATAGAAAACTTTGTGTGTGAGAAAGAATGATAGTGTGTGTGTGAGAGGATGATAGTGTGTGTGTGAGAGAGAATGATAGTGTGTGTGTGAGAGAATGATAGTGTGTGTGAGAGAGAATGATAGTGTGTGTGTGAGAGAATGATAGTGTGTGTGTGTGTGTGTGTGTGTGTGTGTGTGTGTGTGTGTGTGTGTGTGTGTGTGTGTGTGTGAGAGGACATTGTACTGGGTGTGAGGGTGTGAGAGAGTATACTTTAAAAGGAAGTCAGGTTGATCCAACAGGAAGCCAGTTTAAATATTCATTCCTTGGCTGGTTTACAGCCTTGAAAACGAGCACTGCTAGCCATGAGCTAAGAACTTTTAAGATTGTTTTATAGGTCTGTAAGAACAGTATGAAGAAAGCCATGATATTTCTTTTTATGTATCTTGTTCTTCAGTGCCAGTTTGCGGTGCGGTGTGCTCAGAACATTATGAGGGAAAGTGAGAGCATGGGACCTGACAGCATGGTTTTGGACAGATTATTCAGTGAACTTGCTGGATACCAACGGACATTTTTTACTTTTCTATCAATTAGACAGGAGTTTGCAGGGACTGATAGTCAAGAAACTTCAGTCGTCCTTGCGGCCCTGTATGTATGTATTTGTGNTGTGTGTGTGTGTGTGTGTGTGTGTGTGTGTGAGAGAGAATGATAGTGTGTGTGTGAGAGAATGATAGTGTGTGTGAGAGAGAATGATAGTGTGTGTGTGTGTGAGTGTGTGTGTGTGTGTGTGTGTGTGTGTGTGTGTGTGTGTGTGTGTGTGTGTGTGTGTGTGTGTGTGTGTGTGTGTGTGTGTGTGTGTGTGAGAGAGAATGGGGTGTGTGTGTGTGTGAGAGAGTGATAGTGTGTGTGTGTGTGTGTGTGTGTGTGTGTGTGTGTGAGAGAGAATGATAGTGTGTGTGTTTGTGNGACAGATTATTCAGTGAACTTGCTGGATACCAACGGACATTTTTTACTTTTCTATCAATTAGACAGGAGTTTGCAGGGACTGATAGTCAAGAAACTTCAGTCGTCCTTGCGGCCCTGTATGTATGTATTTGTGTAATTACCAACACATATGAAAGCTCAAGATCATTGCATGAAAGACAAATTACTAGCCTTAACTCAAGGGTACCTCCAACAATAAGAACTGGCCATCCTGGTCCCCCTCAGTACAATATACAAAGTGAGCAAATTATGCACTGCTTATCACTTGGAATGAGTTGGCAAAGAACTGCAGTCTGCTTAGGAATCAACAGGAGCACACTGTACAGACACAGACAGCGGCTTGAAATTAGATGAGATAGTACCACCATATACAGAAGTACCTTCCAAATCCGTTTGAAGACCTATTAAATCATATTGAAGACCTTTCTTGATTGTTAAAATCATATTTAAGGGCTTAAATTCTGATTATTAAATGTAAGACTTTTTAAGACCCCGCGGGAACCCTGTGATTAGTCTCGTTTCTAACATTTGACTGCCCCGCTATAGTAGGCTAAGAAGCGTTAGCTTCAAGCAGTAAGAAACATAGGCTTCAATCAACAACATATCATCATCATCGTCATCGTCATCATCATCATCATCATCATCATCATCATCATCATCATCATCATCATCATCTTTATTTAAAGAGACTCTTGGTCCATTATTAAGACATACAACACTCTAACTCAACATACATATTAAAATGACCACGGTTGACATTTAAAAAATAAACTTACCTCTTCCTTGACTTTGAAGTCCATCCCCCAAAATACTGCTGAGTTTGATATCGGGGTTGCACCACTTGGTTCAGTTTGGCGCCTAATGAGGCTCCACCGCCACTCCCTGATGCACCTGATCCGCGTCTGAAGGCCCGCTGCAATTCCTCGTCAACGCTCGCACTAGAATTGCCAACTGTGGACAATGTCGACTGTCGTCTTTGATCCATCATTCCTGATAGCGATGTGACAACATTTGGAGAAGGCCTATCTAAAATATTAGTTAAGAGGCCTATAGCTTCACTAAGTCGCTCCCTTTCCACCATGTTCTCATCTCACAATGGCGCTATGTGGGGGTGGGCGGAGTGTGTCAAACAAAAAACTATTATTTCCGCCTCGCTCATGAGAGTAACAGCTGGAGAAATTAAAGCCTCGCCTACTGATTTTAATTGAACTATATATCGTGACCGATTGTCGATTTCAAATGATTTAATGTCATTTTTTGCCTGACTGGCCATCGTAATCGGGCCCTTTGAAGATCCACAAATCCACGGTTTTCAAACATGTCTGATCGGATTGGCAAAAACTTCAGAATTTGTATTGACCGCCATTCAAATGACAGTGTTGTTTTCCCCAAAAAGTGGGCGGGGCCGTAATTTTTGCCCGGAAATGACATAGGTGTTACTCTCATCTATAGGTATAAATGGCAATTATTTTGGCCATTTTTTCAATCTGACTTCATATTGACAATTTTTAACAACAGACGGTGCTACATAACATACTTTCGGGAAAAGTCACAGAATGGGAGACTTTAATATTTTATTGAAAAAAAGTTAGATACAATCAAACAACAGCTGCGGGTAAATTGACCCGTTGGAGGTTCTAGTGTTAAATAACTAGTGACATTTGAATAAACATTGCAAAAAAGGTGTATTGTTATTTACAAACTTCCTTTATTGTATTCTGGATTATTTGTACAGTATACACACGTCATGCTGTGTGTCTTTTCCTCAAATCCTTTCATTAAGCAGGAGGTGACTTATTGCAATTTTATCAGTTAAAAATAAACATGGTGTGTGTGTGTGTGTGTGTGTGTGTGTGTGTGTGTGTGTGTGTGTGTGTGTGTGTGTGTGTGTGTGTGTGTGTGTGTGTGTGTGTGTGTGTGTGTGTTTTAACAGGGCCTTCATGTGGCTCTGTGGTTTTCTCTATCCCGAGCTACAGTTCCTATAATCATTATTTGTCCTTGCTTAATTTGACCTTCATCCTGCAGTAATTAGCTCCAACATGACACAGCGTTTTTGTGAAGGTACGTCGAGGCTTTAATGACAATGTAATAACAGCCTGAACATGATGTTAACATTATAATACGGTGACTACTGAATGTCACTGACTTTCTGTGGAATATATATATATCAAGTTGCTTACTATTAACCAAAAAAGGCAACAGGTTGAAGAAATAATGAAGCTGACAGTGGTCATTCTAAAGATTACATTCAAAGATTCAAGGGTTTAATCGTCAGCTACAGCGTTTTTGACAGGCAAATCCCAGGCTCCTCCAACAAGGCAACACAAAATACTTCAATATAAAAAGACATCAAAAGAAAAATGCATGAATAGGGCAAGTGACAAAATGACGCATGCAATAAGTCAACTCAATAGTTTGGTGATAATTGTGCAGGGATTAGAAGATAAAAAGTTTCATTTACATCCCGAAACTGTGGTAGCATTAAAACAAATGTGTCTTTTATTCTATTATTATAAGTTATGACGTGTCGTTATATTTTAGCGTGGTTGATATAAAGTTATTTAGTGTTATAAATTACATTTCATTTAACTGACACTTTCATCCAAAGAGGGTGACATAAGGGCAATAGATACAAACAGAAGGTACCTTTGCTTCAAATGAGCCAAACCATTGATGGTCCTTGAACATAAGTCTGAACTTGTGTTTAGGTTTAGGGCAAAGCTTATGTTATGTTTTGAACATAGATAATGACAAAATAGTATGGCATCTGCAACATGTTTTGCTGGTTGACTTTTAGAGAGACAACACTGTACATTTTAAAAATAATTAAATGTTTTTTTCTGTGTCAAAGCATGAAAAGTCATCCACGGCATGGACAGGGTAATACAGCCAGGTAAACAACCGGGGGCAGTACTGATGTGTAAGAGCGTCAGAAGTGTCTGCAAGAGGATACAGTTACAGTTTTTCTCAATTGCTAAACCCACTATTTAGAATCAAAATTCATTTCTTCAAAACAAGAACATAGCCATCTAAACAGAAACACACTTGCCATAACTCTGAATATCTTTTGCAAAATGCACTTACATGACCAAAACTGAAAATACTGGTCACAAAAAAGAATAAGTATATCGAAACGGAACAAATTGTCCTCTAATGAGACAAATGTGTTTTCATAACTGAAACTCCAGTCACCATAATAACACATTCTACCATAACAATATACATTTCTTGCAAAGTGCTCTAAGGCACTCAAAACTAAAAATACCCCTTCCAAAACCAGATACCTTCTCCAAAAACAAACATTTGTCAGCTCATTAGAAGACTATTTGAACAGTCATTACTAAGTGGCAAACTAAATACTGACTACAATCATCAATACACAAACCTCAAGCTATTGATATTGGAAACTGAACGGAAAACTGACAAGTTGGGAGAAACAAACTTACATATAGGAAAAACAGTATGTTACTGTAACTATGTCATTGTTTTTATTGTCTCATTTTCAGAAGAGCACCGTAACAGAAACAAAAGATGAATAGCAATACACTGGGAAAAAAATAACATGGGTAAATGATGTAAATCAGCAGTAAAGCAGAGAATGA